TATACATATATATGGAGTATATATATGGGAGATATATTTATATATATAATATATAACATTTTCTTTATCCACTCATTGATTGATAGGCATTTGGGCTGGTTCCACATTTTTTGAATTGTGCATTGTGCTGCTATAAACATGCATGCACAAGTATCTTTTTCATATAATCACTTTTTTTCCTCTGGATAGATAACCAGTAGTGGGATTGCTGGATCAAAGGTAGTTCTACTTTTAGTTCTTCAAGGAATCCCCATAATGCTTTCCACAGTGGTTGTACTGGTTTACATTCCCACCAACAGTGTAAAAGTGTTCCCTTTTCACAACATCTATGCCAACATCTATTATATTTTGATGTTTTGATTATGGCCATTCTTGCAGGAGTAAGGTGGTATCTCATTGTGGTTTTGATTTACATTTCCCTGATCATTAGTGATGTTGAGCATTTTTCCATAAGTTTTGTGGTCATTTGTATACCTTCTTTCGAGAATTGTCTATTCGTGTCCTTAGCCCACTTTTTGATGGGATTGTTTGTATTTTTCTTGCTGATTTGTTCGAGTTCTTTGTAGATTCTGGATATTAGTCTTTTGTTGGATGTATAGATTGCAAAGATTTTCTCCTACTTTGTGTGTTGTCTGTTTACTCTGCTGATTATTTCTTTTGCTGTGCAAAAGCTTTTTAGTTTAATTAAGTCTCAACTACTTATCTTTGTTTAGGTTGCATTTGCTTTTGGTTCTTGATCATGAAGTCTTTGCCTAAGCCAATGTCTAGAAGGGTTTTTCCAATGTTATCTTCTAGGACTTTTATGGTTCCAGGTCTTAGATTTAAGTCCTTGATCCATCTGAGTTGATTTTTGTATAAGGTGAGAAATGAGGAGCCAGTTTCATTCTTCTACATGTGGCTTGCCAATTATCCCACCACCGTTTGTTGAATAGGGTGTCCTTTTCCCACTTTATGTTTTTGTTTGCTTTGTTGAAGATGTTTGACTGCAAGTATTTGGCTTTATTTCTGGATTCTCTATTCTGTTTCATTGGTCCATGTGTCTATTTTTATACCAATACCATGTTGTTTTGGTGAATGTAGCCTTATAGTATAGTTTAGAGTTAGGTAATGTAATGCCTCCAGATCTCTTCTTTTTGCTTAGTCTTGCTTTGGCTATGCAGCTCTTTTTTTATTCCATATGAATTTTAGATTTTTTTTTCTAGTTCTGAGAAGAATGATGGTGGTATTTTGATGGAAATTACAATGAGTTTATAGATTGCTTTTGGCAATATGGTCATTTTAACAATATTGATTCTAACCATCCATGAGCATAGGATGTGTTTCCATTTGCTTGTGTCATCTGTGATTTCTTTCAGCAGTGTTTTGTAGTTTTCCTTACAGAGGTCTTTCACCTCCTTGGTTAAGTAAATTCCTAAATGTTTTTGTTTTGCAGTTACTGTAAAAGGGGTTGAGTTCTAGATTTGATTCTCAGCATGGTCACTGCTAGTGTATAGCAGAGCTACTGATTTGTGTACATTAATTTTGTATCCTGAAACTTTGCTGAACTCATTTATCAGTTCTAAGAACTTTTTGGATGAGTCTTTAGGGTTTTCTAGGTATAACCATGTCATCAGCAAACAGCGATGGTTCAAATTCCTCATTACCAATTTGGATGCCCTTTGGTTTTTTTATCTTGTCTGATTGCTCTGGCTAGGACTTCCAGTACTATGTTGAATAAAAGTGGTGAGAGTGGGCATCCTTGTCTTGTTCCATTTCTCAGGGGGAATGCTTTTAACTTTTCCCTGTTGAGTATAATGTTGGCCGTAGGTTTGTCATAGATGACTTTTATTACCTCAAGCTATGTCTCTTCTATGCTGATTTTACTGAGGGTTTCAATAATAAAGATATGCTTTTTTGTCAAATACTTTTTCTGGCTCTGTCGAGATGATCATATAATTTTTGTTTTTAATTCTGTTTATATGGTATATCACGTTTATTGACTTGCAGATGTTAAACCATCCTTGCATCCCTGGATCATACTAAATTTTGAGAAATTAAAAGTGTTTCCTCTAAGATTCAGAACAAGGCAAGAAAGCCCATTCTCATCACTTCTTTTCAACATAGTACTGGAAGTCCTAGCCAGAGCAACTTGGTAAGGAAGAGAAAAAAATTATCCAAATCAGAAAGTAAGAAGTAAAATTATCTCTGTTCACAGATGACATAATCTTATATGTAACGAACCCTAAATATTCAACAAAAAATCTCTTAGAACTCATAAGCAAATCCAGCAGTTTCAGAATGCAAAATCAATGTAGAAAAAAATAGTATCATTTCTAAATACCAAAAATAAACAATCTAAAAAGAAACTTGAGAAAATAATCCCATTAAAGGCCGCATGTGGTGGCTCACACTTGTAATCCTAGCACTTTGGGAGGCCAAGGTGGGTGGATCACTTGAAGTCAGGAGTTCAAGACCAGCCTGGCCAACATGGTGAAACCCCGTCTCTACCAAAAATACAAAAAATTAGCTGGGCTTTGTGGCACATGCCTGTAATCCCAGCTACTTGGGAGACTAAGGAGGGAGAATCATTTGAACCTGGGAGGCAGAGGTTGCAGTGAGCCAAGATCACACCACTGCACTCTAGCCTGGCAACAGAGCAAAACTCCATCTCAGAGAAATAAATAAATAAATAAATAAATAAATAAATAAATAAATAATAAAGTAGTATCAAAAATAATAAAATTCTTAGAAATAATCTTAACCAAGGAGGCAAAGCACTTGTACTATAAAAACTACAAAACATTGATAAAGGAAACCAAAGAAGCCACAAACCAATGGAAAGACATCTCATGTTTAATGATTGGTAGGTTTAATACAGTTAAAATGCAATCTAAAGAGTCAACGTGATCCCTACCAAAATCCCAATGTTATTTTTTGCAGAAAGAAAGAAAATTCTAAAATTCATATAGAACATCAAGAAATCCCTAATAGCCAAAATAACCTTGAAAAAGAACAAAGTTGGATGCCTCACACTTCCTGATTTCAAAACATGTTCCAAAGCTACAGTAATCCAAACAGTGCAGTGCTGACATAAAGACAGACATAGAGACCAATGTAACAGAATAGAGAGTCCAGAAATAAACCCTCACATATATGGTCAAATAATCTCCAACAAGGTGCCAAGACCACACAATGGGGAAAGACAATCTCTTTAACAAATGGAGCTAGAAATACTGGATATCCACAGGCAAAAGGACCAAGTTGAATCCTTACTTTATCACATACAGAAATTAACTCAAAATGTTTTAAAGGCCTAAACAAAGGCCTAAAACTGTAAAACTCCAGGAAGAAAACATGAGCAAAAAGATTCATGACATTGAAATTGGCAATGTATTGGATATGAAACCAAAATCATGGGGAGCAAAAGCAAGAAAACAGACAAATGGAACTCCATCAAACTAAAAACTTCTGCAAAGCAAAGGAAACAATCAATTAATGAAAAGACAGCGTATGGAATAAAAGAAAATACTTGCAAATCATATATCTGGTAAGGGGTTAATATCAAGAATATATAAGGAACACCTCCATCTCAACAACAATAAAACAAATAACCCAGTTAAAAAGTGGGCCAAGGACTTGAATAGACATTTCTCCAAAGAAAATATACACATTGTCCACAGTACATTTTAAAAGTTGCCAGCCGGGTGCAGTGGCTCATGCCTGTAATCCCAGCACTTTGGGAGGCCAAGGCGGGTGGATCATGAGGTCAGGAGTTCAAGACCAGTCTGGCCAAGACGGTGAAACCCGTCTTTAATAAAAATACAAAAATTAGCCAGGCATGGTGGTGGGCACCTGTAATTCCAGTTACTCGGGAGGTTGAGACAGAGAATTGCTTGAACCCAAGAGGCAGAAGTTGCAGTGAGCCAAGATTGCACCACTGCACTCCAGCCTGGGCAACAGAGCGAGACTCTGTCTCAAAAAAAAAAAAAAAAAAAAAAAGTTGCTCAACATCACTAATTGTTAAAGGAATACAAATCAAAATCACAATGAGATATTACTTCACGTCCATTAGGATTGCCAGTATTCAAAAAGCAAAACAGAAAAGAACAAGTGTTCACCAGAATGTGAAGTGAGACCCTTGGGTACTCTTGCGGGTGATGTTAAATGGCACAGTCATCATGAAAACGGTATGAAGGTTCCTCAAAAAATTAAAAATAGAACTAACATGTGATCCAGCAATCCCACTTGTGGGTATTTATCCAAAGAATTGAAAGCAGGAACTCTAAAAGATTATTTGCACATCCACATTCATTGCAGAATTATTCACAATAGCCACAAAGCGGAAGCAACCTAAATGACAACTGACAAGTAAATGAATGGAAATGTGGCATCTTATGTGTTCTCACCACAGAAAAGGAGAAAAAGAAGGCTAAATATATGAGGTAATAGATATATTAATTAGCTTGACTGTGGTAACCATTTCATAATAAATTTGTATATCAAATCATCACAGTACACCTTAAATATATGCTACTTTTGGTGGTCAGTCACACTCCAATAAACCTGGAAAATAAGAAATCAAATAAAACAAAGAAGCAAAAAACAAGTGTGAGAGACACATACAATGGAATGTTATTCAGCCCTAAAGTGAAAGAAAGTCCTGTCTTATATGAGAACATGGATGAATCTTGAGGATATTATACTAAATGAAATAGATTATTCAAAAAGTGACAGATACTATATAATTTAACTTGTACACAGTATTTAAAAGAGTCTAACTCATAGAAACAGAAAGTAGAGGAGTGATTGCCAGGGCTTTCAGGGATGGGGAAATGGACAGTTGTTATTCAATGGGTGGGGAGTTCCGGTTTTGCAAGATGAAAAATTTCTAGAAATCTGGTGCCCAGTAATGTGAAAATAGTAAATGCTACTGAACTGTACACTTAAAAATGGTTATGACAGTAAATTTTGCGTTATGTGTTTTTTCTACAATTAGATAATTTTTTAAGTTGAAACAGTACCTGCTCTGCTTCTGTGTTGAACACAACCAAATGTGCTCCCATCTCAACACAGTTCTGCTCACTCTTAGACCAAACGTTCTTTTCACCAGAAATGAAGTAGCAGCTGGAATCAAATGACTTCCAAGAAGCTGGGCAACATCCCCAGGCTATTTTTGTGTTACATGAAAAAAAAAGAGTGAGTGAAAGATGTGATAAATAAGATTAAGGATCTGCAGTTGCTTTGTAGAGACAGTCTCTTAATTCATGTTTTTACTGTTTCCCGAATTATATAATTTGAGGCCCTAGAATTGATTTCAAATAAATATTCTTTAACATTAAGTCCTCAATATTTACTAAAGTTTACCTGCAGTATTTGTCTCCATTTTCTTTTTTGCAAAAAAAAAAAAAAAGTCATTATTGAGTTTTGTTTTTCATGTCCCTTGTACATTATAAGCACCAAGTCCTCTTAGAATTTTAAATGACTAACACGGACGAACCTAGAAACCCAGTTCTGCTCAGTAATCTTGGGCAAGCCACAAAGCCTTGGGTTTTCAAAATGATAACTATTCACAGGTTGGTTATGAGAAATAGAATTATGCCTCATTAGAATTCTGGCTCCCCCATTTATCATGTACGTCTTCGAGCAAATTCATAACCTTCCTGAGCCTCAATTATTGCATCTCTAAAATGGAAATAATAATAGTGCCAACCTCACAGGGGTATTTAATCACATAATATGTATAAAGCATTTTAAAAGATGCGTAACATAGAATAATTGCTCAATAAATGTTACCTATTACTAATTTTCACACAGTATTAAATGCTTAAGAATCTTAAACAATTAGCAGTTCTCTCCCCTTACAAGTACCAGTTTGTCACTCTTCTAGGATTGAAAAAATCCATAGCTAGACATATATAAATCGACTGATATATTTTGATTATACTTATAATCAATATGATTTTGATTACATATAATTTAAACAAATATATATGCATGCTTAAATAGTAAATTGTTTAGATTTGTTTGGTTTTGAAATTTTAAACAGCAATTATGATATATGTGATCTTCTTGGGCTTATTTTTTTGTTTTGCATTGCTAATATTCATCCATGTTATCACACATAGTTCTATTTTATTCATTTTTTACATTATTATATCATTACATATTAAGTGATTAAAAACCAAAAAGCTTATTCTTCCTTTTATAATATTATAAAATGAATAAAATAGATTAACCATATCTATATTACTTGCATATTGGCTGCTTTTAGAAATATACCTTAATTGTGCATTCTGCTCATTATTAATGATTGCTTTAATATGTCTCAAAGTGTGTATTAACATATGATTTGAATTTTGAAAGTCAAATTTGACTGACTTTGCCATTTGAGCTATATACACCAAACATTTTTTTTTTTTTTTTTTTTGAGACAGAGTCTCGCTTAGTCGCCCAGGCTGGAGTGCAATGGCGCGATCTCGGCTCACTGCAAGCTCCGCCTCCCGGGTTCACGCCATTCTCCTGCCTCAGCCTCCCGAGTAGCTGGGACTACAGGCGCCCGCCGCCTCGCCCGGCTAATTTTTTGCATTTTTAGTAGAGACGGGGTTTCACCGTGTTAGCCAGGATGGTCTCGATCTCCTGACCTCGTGATCCGCCCGCCTCGGCCTCCCAAAGTGCTGGGATTACAGGCGTAAGCCACCGCGCCCGGCCCAAACATTTTTTTATAAGTTGAACATGTGAAATTGCCAGCTCCAAGGCCAACAAAAAATATTGTCAGCTGTGATCAGTAAAAGCATCTGTCAAAAAGGTATACTAACATTAATAATATTTTATTTTCTCAATTTATGCTGAGAATAATGAGCTGATCAAGTCACTTTGCAAGTGTAGAAAGTAACAGATGTAAATCGCAATCATTTGATAAGCCTTTTTAGAACACTTTTGGTATACTTTTGAGAAAGTAAATAACTACTGACTGAGAAATAACAAATCTTTTGCAAAATTATTCTATAATATTTCTTATTCTTTACTTTCTATAACATTGGGAGTAACCTGATCAAATTCTCAGTTTACAAACCATTATAAATAATTTTTGACAATAGATCACTATATCATCTTAAGCAGACAATGCTGAAAGAATATCAAAAATTGAGTGACATTCAAACAAAGCCTTTTTCATTCTTATCTACTGACTTAGGTGAGCAAGATTTTTTAGTTAATGTCATTAAATTGGAAAATAGGAGCTGAATTGGTGTTGAATATGTTAGCAATAATATTATAATTACATTTGATAGCATTTTTTCAAACTTCCACTCATCTCATTAAGATTTAGACTTCCAATAGTTTTACTTAATTATTGATGATTTATCAAAATCTATCATAACTTTGTGATGTTTTGACATCATGTCCTGATAATAATTATGATAGTAAATCAATCCAGAACACATTTTATAACACACGAAGCCTAATGGTCCACAGGAAATTGAAATATTAGGCATGTTTATCTACATATTTTGGCAGATGAGAAAAGTATCATGTAAATTTTAGTTCAAGGAGATAGAAGAATGATGTAAAACATCCAACTGTTAAATAATATATGTTTAGTTTTGTTTTAATGGATGATGGGGGTTAGCACTTTGTAATAGTATTTACACACAAGTAAATACATTTTAAGAGAGAAATAACAGTTTTGTTTTTTAAAGTCAATATTTACAATGTTCCAGAAATTAAAGCTTTTGCTTCCATAGCATGATGAAAATTCTGATGTCAAATTAAACTGTATCGGAGGGTACATACGTTTTCAGAATCCTTTTTGGGGATTGACAAGCAAAACAGTTAAAAGAAAACTGGCCTAGGCAGAGTGCAGGGGGATTGAGGGAACTCTAGCTCTTCCTATGCAGCTGAACGTCTCCACACTCCAACTGCAACTGAGTGGGAAACAAACTGAACAAGATACAGTGTGGATTTAAGTTATTTTTTAACTTTAATCAAAATGGAAATTTTGTGTATGGACTTTTATTTTTATTTTTCATTGTAATGATGAGTTGAAAGAATGTTGTTAAAATTGGAGCATTTTTATTTACTGACATGGTATTATACAAAATAATTGTATTTTATCACATAAGATTTTCTGTAACTTTAAGTAGTTGTATTGAACAGCTTGACTGGTCATTTACATTGGATATACTTAGGGGGCAAATTAACAGTCTCTTATGCCAGATGGATATGGAGTTAATTTAATTAATATCCATCTCTGTCCCATTTCAGGGCATTCAGAAGGCAAAAGCTAAGTGCCCATTGTTGCTTCCAGGAAAATATCCATTCAAATGTTACTTGTTGAAGCAGTGTTCCACATAGGTAGGAAGAAGACTATGCACTTCACTTCTCTTTCCCTTTTTCTTTTCTTTTTTTTTTTTTTTTTTTTGACTGTCCTAAATTGCTTATTAGGTATGAATTTTACACACTTTACTTATATTAACAGTAACGGTGGAGCTGGAGAGTATTGCGCATTCTCCAAGCTGCCTGATGAGAACCACGAATAGTGTGGTGGAACTTCTGGCCCCTTCCATGGCCACGGCTCTTTCAACCTGCAGATGTCAGGCCACGCATCTCCCTGTGCTTGTGGACTGGTTTGGTGTCAGGATTTCTTCTGATAGCTTTATAGAATGGATCAATGAGGATAACCCCCAAAAATTTTTATGTGGAATCTTCACCAAGGCAGTAAGAACTCAGGACTCTTAGAGACCCCCAGGGGTATCCAGCTGGCTCCTCTGCAACAGACTGAAGGCTTGGAACAAAATTTGGCTGGTTAACACCATGATAGACAGGCTTGCCGTAAGCTGCACCCTTAGGAACTGGGTGTTTTTGGCCACCACAGCGAACACGAATCCTATATATAAGTAATCTTGGTTGACCTTGTAGCCCAGTCGGCCCACTTTATCAGGCCAGGTGGGGTGGGGAGCACTGTAGAGAGCAGAGAGCTGGCAGTACTGCCCGTAGCAGACCCTCAGAAGCAAGCTCATGACATCAGACTGCTTCTTTTTCCATAGCTCGTGGATGTACTTGTATGCACCCATCTTGACTTACCTGATGGCTGCCGCCAGACGGAAAGGCTCTTACCCTTTTCCATGAAGCTGACTGATATGGTTTGGTTCTGTGTCCCCACCCAAATCTCACCTCGAATTGTACTCCCATAATTCCCACGTGCTGTGGGAGGGACCCTGTGGGAGATAATTGAATCGTGGGCGTAGTTTCCCCCATACTCTTCTCGTGTTAGTGAATAAGTCTCACAAGATCTGATGGTTTGATAAGAGGAAACCCATTTCACTTGGCTCTCGTTCTTCTCTTGTGTGCTGCCATGTAAGACGTGACTTTCACCTTCCGCCATGATTGTGAGGTCTCCCTACCACGTGGAACTGTGAGTCCAATAAAACTGTTTTTTTTGTAAATTGCCCAGTCTCGGGTATGTCTTTATCAGCAGCATGAAAACTGACTAATACACCAACCATAATCCTAAATTCAACTCCGCCAACTCTCCACATATGAAGTTAACAACAGTATATTTTGGACAGGCATCAGTCTCATCCTGAACCAATTTGACCAGGAATAATGCTAGTATTTGGGATGGAGATGGATAGTATTAATTGGAAACCTTAAATATCGAAAAAAATATTGTATGCATTTGATGGAGGGTGAGAGGAATGTAAAATCTGTAAGAATTGTTATGAATAATTTCCAGGGTTGGCCTGAGCAAATTACATGCATGTAGGTTTATAATATTTACCAAGCTCAAGAAGTGTGAAGAAGGAATTGTTTTGGGGGCATGTCTAGAGCCTGACATGAACATGTATGTTTAGAGAAATTATGAAAATATCCGAGCAGAGACTTTCATAAAACATACACACACAAATGCACAATAGAATAACCAATCTTGAGCTCAACCCTGTTCTCTCCCTGAGAAAAAAGAAAGTCTATGTAAGCATTTTAAAGTTTTACCTGTCACCTTTGTCCCTTCACTGAAGCAGGTGAGACTTGAATGATATGAGTGTAGTTCAGACAGCGTTTTGCCAGTTTCGCCATATGTAAAACGGTAAGTTACTGGGAAGGAAGAAGAAGGATTAGTGTCCATCTATGATTTTGCTCTAAAGCCTTGAGCTCTATATCTGTACAGTGCTGGCTTACCTCTGACCCCCACCACTCTTTCTCTATGCAAGCCCAATAAAAACCATGCCAAATTATTATTTGCTTGTATTCATTTATCTTACTTTTTTAAAAAATATATATCCCCCATTTTCACCACTAGAATTTAGGCTCCATACTCTTGAACAGAGATTCTGCCAGTTTCCCACAACAATTAATCACAAACACAACTTAAAGGTTTCAAAACATCTCATATACCCCGTAAATATATACACCTACTATATACCCACGATTTTAAAATAATAATTTAAAAATATTTTATTATAAAAAAAGGAGGAAGTCTGAAGGTGAAAACTGATCTTTTTTTTAATCACAAACACCTAAAAGGGTAACTGTCACAAAGTCATCAATAAATATTTATTGACTCACTGGATATCTGCTTCTCCTTAGCCTTAATAACCTTGATGCAAGCACACAGGTTATTTTGATGTTTTCTAAATAATTCTAGCTGCAGGTAGCCACACATCAACAGACGGGCTAAGTAACAACCAAGGGGAAATTTTAAACATTTATAAAAATATTTTTAATGTCTCAAATGAACATTAACTTTTATGTTAATGTTCACTTTCAGCAAGACCTTTTATCTCTCAGGATCTGATCTGATTCTTCACTCATTTCTTTTTTGTCCTTCTATAACTAAAGCTCAATACAGTCAAATCTTTCTGCCCTGCTCTTAGTTCATGTTTTGAGATCCTGAATTTGTGTTTCTTTTTATGAAATATCTATTCTTAAACCCCTTCTCTCTTGCACTTGATTCTGAAAAGTAAAACAGATTCTAACTTTGGTGATAATTACTTGTATTTTACTAAATATTGTGAGATTTATTTAAAACTCTGAGGGAGCTACATCTATGACCTGATTGACAGGGGAAGTCACTTTCATTCCCTCCCAGACTATTCAACAACTTTTTTTTTTTTTTTTTTTTTTTTTTTGAGACGGAGTCTGGCTCTGTTCCCCTGGCTGGAGGGCAGTGGCGCGATCACGGCTCACTGCAAGCTCCTCCTCCCGGGTTCCCGCCATTCTCCTGCCTCAACCTCCCGAGTAGCTGGGACTACAGGCGCCCGCAACCGCGCCCGGCTAATTTTTTGTGTTTTTAGTGAGACGGGGTTTCACCGTGTTAGCCAGGATGGTCTCAATCTCCTGACCTTGCGATCCGCCCGCTTCGGCCTCCCAAAGTGCTGCGATTACAGGCGTGAGCCACCGCGCCTGGCCGCTCAACAACTATTTTTAACCACCTTATCAATGAGTAGAAATCCAAATTGTGAATCAGAGAGGAAAAAGGTCTTTAAGACTTCTCACACAATGAACTTGAGACATGTATTTGGAGGCAAGCAGAACAGAGAAGAAATATTGTATTCTCTTTATCTCCATCATTTCATTTGAATACTTTTTCCTCTCACATTGGAAAGGTTCTGTACATGAATCAAAGAATCTAATATAGAATATCACAATTATGACAGCAATTAGAGTTGCACTCCCAATACAAGACTTCTGTGACTAGGGAACACATGATTACCAGTGAATCCAGTCCTGAAAGATGGTGCCTTAGATGATGGCTACAATGAACAACATGGATATATGAGGCCATGATTCAGAAAATGCTCATAAAACCAGGTAAACTAAATCCACAAGAATTCAGTTTTCAAAAGATAGAAGAAGAACAACAAAGGGAAAAGGAGAAATCAAGGAAAATGTGACATTCCAAGTAAGAATTGATGTATTAATGGGGCAGAGGAGAATATATCCTAGGAAGCGTGTATGGAATATTCAAGGGAAAAGAAGCAAAGAAATGCACCTCAGTGCAGAACTTACCCACACAGCTCACAATGAAGCAAGCACTGAGGAGTGCAATGGAAATCCCAGCCACAGACCAGAGTTTCAGGGACCACCAACCTCTTTTCTCTGTCCAATCAGGAAGACAACAAACACAGTTACCAGGGGGCCGGGGAGCCAAAATCCCCAGGAAGCTTACAGCAATGAACAAACTAGATGAAGAACCTCAGAGCAGTTAAAAATCTAAAGCAAGAAGAGAGCTTACAAACTCCCTCAGAACAAATAACCAGGTAGTAGCTCTGTGGCCCCAAAGAATACAGGTAAAACATATGCTCAACCAACTGGAATTTCCATATTTTTATTCTTTCCTCTTAACTATTACATGTTTCATTGATTTCCTTTCTCAAAACATCACTTTTGTCTCCCATTTCTCATATCCCTGTATTGATATTTGGTTTCTTCAGTATATCCAAGAGATATCTGCACTCCCATGTTTATTGCAGCACTATTCACAGTAGCCAACATATGAAATCAACCTAAGTGTCTATCAACAAATGAATGGATAAAGAAAATGTAGTATAATATATACAATGGCATATTATTGCCCCATAAAAAAGAATAAAATCCTACCATTTGCAACAACATATATGGAACCAGAGGACATCATGTTAAGTGAAATGAGCCAGGCACAGAAAGACAAATATTGCATGTTCTGACTCCTATGTGGGAGCTAAAAAAAATTGATCTCATGGAGGTAGTGAATAGAATGGTGGCTACCAGAGGCCAGGAAGGTTAATGGGGAAGAGAAGATAGAGAAGGGTTGCTTCATGCCTACAAAAATACAATTAGCTAGAAGAAATAAAATCTAGTGTCCCTTACCACAGTAGGACAACTGTAGTTAACATTTTTTTTTTTTTTGACGTGGAGTCTCACTCTATCACCCACACTGGAGCATAATGAGGCAATCTTGGCTCACTGCAACCTCCACCTCCCAGGTTCAAGTGATTCTCCTGCCTCAGCCTCCTGAGTGGCTAGAATTACAGGCACATGCCACCATGCCCAGCTTATTTTTGTCTTTTTAGTAGAGATGGGATTTCATTATGTTGGCCAGGCTGGTCTTGAACTCCTGACCTCAAGTGATCCACCCACCTCAGCCTCCCAAAGTGCTAAGATTACAAGTATGGGCCACTGAGCCTAGCCCAACAATCATTTATTGTATATTTCAAAATAGCTAGAAGAGTAGATTTGGAATGTTCCAAACACAAAGAAATGATAAATATTTGAGGTGATGGACAATCTAATTTTCCAGACTTTATCATTACACATCATATTCTTATATCAAAATATCACATGGAGCCCATTAATATGCACAACTATTTTGTATCCATTAAAAAAAATTTTAAACATTATTGATGGACATGCAAAGAGTTGAAGCTAAAGTCAAATTTTCATGCATTAAAAATGGGAAGCTTTTTTCTTACAAAAACTTAGAAAAGCAAGTGCAAAAACAAACTCAGGGTAATTGGAAAGAATACTGCTGCCTGGATTTCAAGATTAGTCAAAAGACTTTCAAGAGCAGATATCTAATAATCAATTATTTCCCTGATTACCTTCTATCATGTAAATCTTTTCTGTCTCCCTAAACTTTCAATAAAATCTGATACAAACCTCCCAAAAAAATTTGCTTTCTTATTCTTTCAATTGCTTATGGCTCTGGCTCTGAAGAATGACTCTTTCTTTCAAATTCCTTTCAGTCTACTATATTGGTCCAATCACTAGCTCTTCAATCTGTTCTTTGTCTACTTCTTCTCTCTGGGTGATCTTATTTCATCATACACTTCCACTTTCCTCTGAAACAGAGGAAATACTCACCTGTACTTTGAGGTTGCAGCTCTTGCATCATTATGCAGGCTCCCTGTGTTGAGAAGGTCCAGGAACCTTTTGTATCTCTCGCCCAGAAGATGCTGCCCAGAGACCCAGCTTCATTTAAAAAAGGTAGAGCTCAGGGACAAACTGCTACACACTCTCATAGGACTAAGAGACTTCTAACATTAAGTGTACCTCAAAAGAAGAAGTCACAGTTACAACTAAAGTTTCCAGTGATTTTGAAACATGGGATTAAAAAAAAAAAAAGAGGAATTGAGAAACATTGAAAACCACTCATGAGAACTTTGACAAGAATACTTAGATCATTTCTTCAGTTCCTAATATAAAATTTCTCTGTCTGATTCCTATTCATTCTAGCCTGCAAAATAGAAAATTTTGTATCTCCTAAAAGAAATCCATTTAGAGACCTTGGTTAAATTAAGTGCTCCCTAACTAACCTTTACATTGGTTACTTATTTTATGCAAGCCTTAATCCCTGTGTTGAACAGTGTCCTAGGAAGTAAGCAAAAGTCTGATTGAATGGATATGGTTTAGATATGAAGGGTAAGATAGTAAATAACAAAACCCATGAACATTGTTAAGGAATGTGATTGCAAAACGAAACATTCTGAAATCACTCTGCAAAGGTGATGAAAGATTCTTATTGTATTCAGACTAATACTGGGCAGATGACAGTGATATATTGTAATCTCCCTGATTAGGTAAAAGGGAGCCTGAAGTGATATAAAATCAGAAACAGGCTTCATGAATTTTATATTGTAGCACAGAAAATATGATTTGTTTTCTTATCCTCATAGATTCTTAGTAGAGACACTCTCCTGAAAACAAAAGTCAGAGAAACAAGAGAAAAAACAGCAGTTTATCAATGTGTGCTATACCCATCACTCAGGAGAGAACTCAGTTCAAATGTATTTATCTCTTTCAAGGCAGTGGCTTACAGGCCTTGCTTAAATAGTATGTTAACAAAGAGCCATAAATCTTATGGAGTGGTGAGAAAGAAAACAAACAAACAAAAAACTTTGTTTAAGGATGTGAGTGCCTTGAAACTATCAAGTCCAGAGTGGACTCATGAGAGAGACATGACAGGAGTCCTGCCTCACTCCCACCTTAAGCTAAATTTACCTCTTGAAGCCATTTGCTATGTAGATTCTAGACTAACTGAACCCTACAGTTTAACGGTGTATAGCCAATTACTAATCAATGTGGTTTCTGTAAACCAATGATAATTTACTGATGAGTAACTTTTCAAATCACTCCCTCTCCTGATTCATTCTTTTTTTAATTTTTATTTTTCCATAAGTTATTGGGGTACAGGTGGTATTTGGTTACATGAGTAAGGTCTTTAGTGGTGATTTGTAAGATTTTTGTGCACCCATCACCCAAGCAGTATACCCTGCACCATATCTGTAGTCTTTTATCCTTCGTGCCCCTCCCACTCTTCCCCACAAGTCCCCAAAGTCCATTGTACCATTCGTATGCCTTTTGCGTCATCGTAGCTTAGCTCTGCAAATCATTGAGAACATATGATGTTTGGTTCTCCATTCCTGAGTTACTTCACTTAGAATAATAGCCTCCAATCTCATCCAGGTCAGTGCAAATGCTGTTAAAACATTCCTTCTTATGACTGAGTAGCATTCTATTGTATATCTATACCACAGTTTCTTTATCCACTCATTGATTGATGAGCATTTGGGATGGTTCTGTGATTTTGCAGATTCATTCTTTTTTCTTTAAAATCTTCAGTCTTTCCTTTGTTCTCTCTCTTTTTTTTTTTTTTTTTTTTTTTTTTTTTGAGACAGAGTTTCACTCTTGTTGCCCAGGCTGGAGTGCAATGACGTGATCTCAGCTCACTGCAACCTCCACCTCCCAGGTTCAAGCGATTCTCCTACCTTAGCCTCCCGAGTAGCTAGGATTACAGGCATGTGCCACCATGCCTGGCTAATTTTGTATTTTTAACAGAGATGGGGTTTCTCCATGTTGGTCAGGCTGGTCTCGAACTCTCAACCTCAGGTGATCCGCCCGCCTCAGCCTCCCAAAGTGCTGGGATTACAGACGTGAGCCACCACACCCGACTTCCTTGGTTCTCTAGGCCACGTCCCAAGGCAACTTGGAAGTGTTTTCCGAAGTAGCTGTTCTCAACCTTGGCCCAAATAAACTCTCTATATTAACGTGGCTTCAGCTACTTCCTTTAGGATGATAGTGAAAAGACAAAGAAGAGAATATCTTCAGGATTCCAAAAAGAAATGAAATACTGGAAGGTATTTTTACAGGAAGAGTAAAGTGTGCTTCTAAATCCTTTTACAAGTATCATAAAGGAGCTAATCCTTAGCTGGGAAAAGTAGAAAGGAGGGCAGGAAGACCTTCGTCTTTGTAAATTGTTCTGCCAACAGGCAAGCAGAAGGAGGGGAAGAATGTTCTCCCACATTGCCACCTTTTTCAGCTCAACAATATGCAGTTATCTTAGAGAAGTTTATTTTGGTTTCCTCCAATCATTACCCAAGGGCTTTGAGATACCTCATCATTCACATACAGTCTCTAAAATGTAGACCATTCTATTAACATCACAAGCATCTCCACATTCTCAAGTGAGCAGTGTTGAATACAAGAAAATCTACTATGAATATTGAACTTGTGATATTATAAGAAACATGCATATTTCATTGTTGTTTATCACAGAGCTTCTGAAACCCTAAAACTTCCTGGTTGATAGAAATGATAAGAGCATCTTTGATTATAATATTTGGGTTTTGTCCTCAGCTTCTCAACCATGTTCTAGAGTAATAAAGGTGCACAAAACAGCCTATGTTATCTATTTGGTTTTTGTTCCCAGTTTCTGAAACAGCTCGAGGGCAATAAAGACGAAAGAAAAAAATCAACAATAATTACCTAGCTGAACATTAAAAAAAAAAATTAAGATGAAAAGAGTGTCTTTTATTATTCATAACAAGACCTTTTAACCAAGCCTAGTGTCTATGCTCATGAGGTAACTCTTGATGTTTCCCAAGACAGCTCCAGGATGGGGGCTGGTTGCCAGAGGAACCAACCGTGTGACTAGAGGATGGAAACTTTCAGCCCCACTCGTCCAGGGAAGAAAAAGGGCTGGAGATTGAGTTCAATCACTAATGGCTAAAGTTGTAACCAAACATGCCTTCATAATTTAGCCTCCATAAAAACTCTCAACAATGGTTTTAAACTGAACAGGGATTTTTTTTTTTTTTTTTTTTTTTTTTTTTTTTTTTTGAGACGGAGTCTCGCTGTGTCTCCCAGGCTGGAGTGCAGTGGCGTGATCTCGGCTCACTGCAAACTCCGCCTCCCGGGTTCACGCCATTCTCCCGCCTCAGCCTCCCAAGTAGCTGAGACTACAGGCGCCCGCCACCACGCCTGGCTAGTTTTTTGTATTTTTAGTAGAGACGGGGTTTCACCATGTTAGCCAGGATAGTCTCGATCTCCTGACCTCGTGATCCACCCGCCTCGGCCTCCCAAAGTGCTGGGATTACAGGCTTGAGCCACCGCGCCCGGCCGAACAGGGATTTTTTTAAGTGACAAGATAGTTATAGCTATAGCGAATAATGAAATACACATGGAGAAACAGGATAAAAGCTCAGAAAACTTCCCCAATGGTTAATTTGAGATGCATTTGATCATTAAAGGGCAAGGGGGAAGAACTGGTTATAAGACATCAACGTTCGTTTCCAGTTCCCCTTAGAGACAAACACAAACGCAAGGATTGAGTCACTTGGTGGTCCAGTAAAAGAATACATCCTCCTTAGCTATCTGGAAGTAAAGTAGTTTAAAGACCCCTTTGTTTCTCATCTGTCTCCTATTTATGCTCCCCTAATCACGTTCTGGTCTTGACCATTAGCAACCTGAGCTCCATTCTCTTTGTTTCTTTCCACTTCTTTGTCCTGTATAAATTTCTAGATTACAGTGTCATGCCTTTGAATCAAGAGTGCTGAAATGGTAGGAGCAAAGGCAAAAGGAAGAGATATATCAACATAAAATATAATATAACACAAAATCAAGAGAAAGACTGCTAAATCAGAGCAAAAGCAGAATTGTGTGCAGGCTCAGGTCACATCTCCAGACAAACGTAAGCTATTTGAGCCTGTCCGGGGAGTAGTGCAAAAACAAGCAATGGAGAAGATGGGAACTAGTAGAGATTGAAAATAAAAGCATATGCTATTATACTAGTAGACAGAGATAAAGTGAAAATTGTTATTTTGGCCTGATCTCTTTTAAAGGAGATGTGAGAGGTGAATTAAAATTATGAACCAAATCCTTTTCCTAAAAGTAGTATTGGGTTGTTCTTTTGAAAACGGGTGTCCATGATTGAACTAAGTAGTCACAACTTGATTCTCTTGTATCTGAATTGAGATAAAAACAATTACATCGATCGTTGGTGACAAACATTGCCCCTAGGAGATGTTTAGACTCAGATATGAGGTCCACACAAATTAGCATAAAATACCCTCAAATACCTGCCTGGCTGCCCCACCACCTGGGAAGTGAGGAGACCCTCTGCTCAGTGGCCGCACTGTCTAGGAAGTGAGGAGCGCCTTTAACCCGCCACCATGCAACCCTCCAGGTGTGAAGTGGCAGCCTTGTCTGTGATCTTTCTGCCCTCACCAAGTTTGCATTTTCAACAGTAAAGTTTATTTTTAAATTAAAATAATATATATACACATATATGTGTATATATATCCTCAAATACACAAGACATATACCATCTCGTTATTGTCAAAGTATTAGGTTTTTTGTTGGTGGTGGTGGTTCGTATTACCCCTGGCTAACAAGAAATTCCTTGGAAGTCATTCTTGGAACTATCCTCTGTCCCTGGGATTATATCAAGATTCTAGAGATTATGTAGATCCATAAATTGAAGGAGCAAAAAGTGGCAGTTTATTGTTCATGGATCCATACTGGTCACATCTGTAGTCTCATGTGCCCCAAGCCCTCAGTGCCATGATACCTCCCCAGTGCTTGGGAAGTTGACTTTGTCCTGTTACTTATTCTTTG